AACTCATATACGAGAGATGCATTAGTTATCAATGAAAACCAAAACCAATAAACAAAGCTGGATTTGCTACTCGTTAGTGAACAATCAGGCATTGATATTAATGATATAGTATTTAGTGTCGATTGTGTTGTTAGTTCAGGTGAAATTGATGATTAGATAACTTATACAGTTACAGAGTTGTTTTTTAAATTGCACTTTCTCTCCACTATGTTGTTTCATTTCATGATAGCGAGTTGCTGTTACTATCGGTATCTGGCATTGCTCCTGAATGAATTTTCTAAACACCATTAACTTCAACACGAGAAATGTACAAAATGATATATGTATCTTTAATTAAATGAATCTTAAGCTTTTTTAGTGACAGATACTTTACTTCGTTTGTTCTTCACCGGTTTTACAAATGACTCACTTGAAGATGTAGCATCAAGAAGGTGAAACTATTGTTCGTCTAACAAGATCACCACTAATGTCGGTTGAAAACCAGATTGAGTTTTCAATTTGATATAATTGATGCTGTGGATAGAGTAAGTTGATAAGTTGTGAATGAATTGGCTTCTTCTTGGAGCAGTTGTACATATATATAGGCCCTACAGTGCCTAATAAGAGGAAAAAATTTCAGTAAAAATGTGAGGATGTTTTATGTCGAGAAAAGAAATCCAACACTAAAAGAAACAATGCATAATGTTATGCTCTACTTTTGGTATATTTATTTTAAAGATAAAATAGAGGTTTCGTGTAAAGAAGAACATAAACGCATTTTTTATTTTCTTCAAATCAAAAGAATCTCCTTGACCTGTATAACATTATAGATATGTATCATCAAACAGAAGAACAAAAAAGAATAAAGAGAAACCGAACGACAAAAATAGAAAAGCTGCACATTTACAATAATATAAATGTTATATCATAGCACAGTATACAAAAAGAATTAAAAAATTTGCACGTGTGATTGTTTTTTCATTTGAAAAAGATAAAATGCAGTGTATCTCTTTCACTATATAGTATAAGATATTTTGAAGACATTCAAATGATAGAGAGGAATGTAATGGATATGGGTATGGCTGAAGAGGGTAACCAAAATCTCACCATGCTGACATCTAAACGAAATTGTATACATCTATTCGACCTGACAGAACGGAATCAAGACAGATCAGATTGAAGTCAACATGGAAATTTCGAATCAATGAAGTCTCCGGATTGAATTATTCTCTTAACATTGATCATATATAAGTTCGAAGTAAGTGTAAAATAGAATTATTGGAATTATACTCTTGTTAAATCAATTCCATAGGCTTACAGTCTCCACCACGAAACGCATGTCGTAAGTACTAACCATAATTGATTGCTGATGATAGTATTTATTGATCCAACTTATCATAGGATAATCTTTGAATTCTACTAAATGCTATTCAAAATATATTCGCCTTAATGAATTCTCTTTCGTTGATAAAACAGCTAATGAATTTCATAATTCTTGCTTTATTATAAACAAAAGGAGAAAAATAAATAAGAACATATAGAAAGAGATTCTATACCAAGGATATTCAATCTTCTTTGTTCAATTTGTTTTTGATTGATCAAGTTATTAGACTTATTTGTTTTAAAGATTAATATAGATAAAGTAAATTAATATTAAATCAACTTTTACTGAAAGATATAAATATAAATTAAAATATGTCGATTTCAGGATGAAGTAATTTTGAATATTTTTAATCTTTTTAGAATATCAGCAATTAAGTGAACTCACTTTTTTAATCCATAAAGAACTTAATGGAGAGACTGAAGATAATTAAATTAGTTAATTGAATTCTTTCGTTTTCTTAAGTAATTGATAAAATTAAAAGGAAAAAAAAATGAATATTGTTTAAAATCTTTAAGTATTAACGTACAGGATTTGATATATTTCTTTCATTTTTATCATTTTCTCAATAGTTCTCTAAAGTAAAATCTCTTTAGATGTAGATTTGTTTATGATACAGAAAAAGGTTGTGTGTATAGGTTCATATAAGGGACATCCTCTATGAAAGTTACTCAGACAGTCAGGTTGATAAATTTTTGTATCAGGACTTCTATGAAAAAAGTGTCTTCAATTTGAAGTGCTTAACGGTATAATAATAAAAATAATTTTAAGAGTTTGAAGTAATTGAAAGAAAAAAATTTCATTCATGATAATGATCATTGTTAAATTGTGTATGACAGTATTATTTAGTCTATAATTTCATCCTAAAATGCCTCAAACTTAACATCAAACCAACCACTAAATTTAAAACCTTCCTTTATATGACTGCGAAGGAATGTTTGAAAAGATGATAATAAATCGAAATGTGATCTTATACCTAATGTCTTCTCTAGTATCAACAGGAAATTCAATTCTAATTCAAATATATACGAATTTCAACATTTAAGAATCGGTTTCATCTATAATTAGCATCGTAATTTAATAATAAATTCACCTTGACATCAATAATACTTTCATTGAATAGATTTCAAAAAATATTCTTCTTTTTTTTTTCTTTTTTCCCGTGTATACTTCCTTTTTGGTGCAGCTCACTCTTTTCAGAAAAATTTGCACCGTTTCATTATAGATGAAATCATATTTAATAGATTTTGTGTTGTTTCAACATAAGCAGCTAAATTAAAAAAAAAACAAGCTTCCGAGTCATAAATACATATGAAAAAAGAACTTTCTATTAAAAAAATCATCTCATGAAATAGTTACGTATGTCAAAGTGCACTCATCCTTTAGATGAGTACATTGTGCGTGGTTTACTAGTTTAATCAGTCCATATGATAGTCATATTGTGCAGGAGATGAAAAACCAATTTCATCTATAATTTTCTATATTGTCACTTAACTTGATTATACATAATAACTATCAGAACCTGTGAATAATATATCGATGTATTTTTCATTTCTTAATGAATTGAATTATCTATTAATGATATTACTCGACATAAAGTTATAAGACGACGAAGTTGGTTCCGTTTTTCGCGAACAAAATGGAAAAAAAACAGCTCATGAACGAGTAAAATTAATATACATAGTTTATCTCAGAACATCAATCATATCAATTGTTTAGACATCTTTTGAAAAATGAATATAAATAGAATAAAAGTACATCTTTTCAGAAGAAGTAGTAATAGATTAGTTAAAATGTATGTTTCAAACTATTCGTTTATCAATAGATGGTGTGTTGTGCTCAATAATTTAGTTCTTCACAACCGTTATTCATGACTCATATTGTCTTTTGTAATTGTTTTATATTTGTGATTTACTTTAATTGCTTTCTATATAAAGTTACTTTAAATGAGCACTATGTCCCTGTACAGCCTATAATGGGTACAGGGTTAAACAAATTACAAATAAGAAAAAAAGTCGACCTTTTCTTCTTCTTTTTTCTTTATAAAAACTAATGGATGTAGAAAAGTAAAAAAAAATAATCCCATCAATTGTTATAAGAAACTTATATTTTTCTTCTTTGTACACTATTTTGCGGTTATGTGTACATCAGAAAGAAAGAGTAACAGAGAAATCTATTGATTTATACTAATAAAACAACAATAACAGCTGCATCGTCTGTTCAAGTTGTCTAACTGGCTTTTTTCTTTTCTCGTTTTTTTATTATTACATTGTGATGTTCGTAGAGAGAGAAAGAAAGCCTTGTTTTTTTCTCATTCATTCATTCATTCATTCTTTCTTTCATTCACTTGTTCGACCTTAGCCGAAACAACATATAAAGAACGGAAGAAGAGAATAACACCGCAAATGCTAGGCTGAAATGCGGTTAATAGCAAGTAAAAGAATCTTTTTTCATTTGTTGGCCAAAGAGTAAGTTGATCGCTCAACTTCATCATTGATATAATTCAATTTCCGAGTAGTTCAGATGAAATTCTTCTCCTTTTTTTCTCGTTCATTGTTTTGAAAATTGTCAAGCTCAATTTTGGAGCTCGTGTCACATTTCAATCTGTATGTACATGTATGCGAAAAATTTATATAACGATTATGTAATAATCATTTGCAGAGAGAGAGAAAGACAGAGCAAAAAAAGGAAGAAGAGAACAAAATATGTATATACATATGTGTTCTGCCTTTTTTTTTTTTTGATATATTGCTTCTCATTTATTTGCCTATATTACATCAGCAGTTATACCGATAATGGATAGAAAAAAAGAACGGAATGTCACCAAGACGTCGTTTGTATTAGCCGAGGACGGACATAACTTGATTGACCTCGAAAACTGGATTGCTGAAAAAGTAGGAGTTCACTGTCAGATAACAGAAACATGCCTATTACAAGAAAAAAAAGTTAGATTATCGACTCTATCTCGCGCTCTTCGATTGATTTGGTCGTAATACATGACTATTTCATTACATAAACTCGTTTCTTTCTCCATGTACTTTTGGTTATTCGTCGCTTTCTTTCTTACCCATTAACTATCACAGTAGGTTGTAGTTTTATAGCAGTAATATTCTTTGCTGTTCTATCGTTTTGTGTTATGCATTCTATTCTAATAACGTCTGTCTTATTAAAACTATCATTAGTATTGTTTTTTTTTATCTTAGAATAGTATAAAGTATCATCATCGTGTCGTTGAGCTCCTACACATAAACATGCTCTTGATAATCATATTGTTATTTGTTGACTATATACAAGCCTTGATTTTCGTATCGCGGGAATCAGACGAGTACTATATAGTGATTTATAACTATATGATGTATTTAGATGCATGTCTACGTCTTCTATTTTGTTTCTTCATACATTCCTTTTTTTTCTTTCGTTCTTATTCATATTCAGTTTCATCTTTTTTCTACCTTGTGTATTAATCAAAGCGCCTTCTTCAATATATAAAAACTTCGAGTAAGTATTTACCTTCTCAGTACATTGTGGTATGATCAATGAATGTTATTTTATCGATGAAAATTGAATAATCTGTTTTGTTTTATTCAGATATATAAATGTGATTATCTATCTTGGTAAAGAAATAATAGGCACTTGGACAATGGTGGCTAATGATTGTTATGCCATATTAGGCGTTAAATCAACAGCTACTGAAGATGAAATAAAAAAAGCTTATCGAAAAAAAGCTCTTCAATATCATCCAGATAAAAATTCTTCTAAAACAGCTGAAGAATTATTTAAACAAATTAATAAAGCTTATGAAACATTAAGTGATGCAGATAAACGTCGAGTATATGATTTACAACAACAAACAACACATACAAATTCTTCATCATCACAACAACATAAACATGATTCATCATTTCATTCATCAAATCAATCATATTTTACATCAGCAAACAATAATTCGTCTCGATTTCATTTTCATGATCCGTTTTTCAATATTCATCAACGACATGCTTATTTTGCTCGTAAATTTCATTCACCAAATTTTTCATTTTTTGACACCAGTTTTGGTACATCATCATCATCGGATGATGAAACTGATTATGATCATTTTGATTCAATTCCATCAACATTTCATTCTAGTCAAAATCGTTTTCGAAGAAAAAATCGATCAAAATGGAATCATAATTGGTCATTTGAAACTGATCCATTTATGATGTTTGAAATGATAACACGATCTATATTTGATAAATTTTTACATGATGATTTATTTTGGCATCATTCATCAAGTCGTTTACGTAGTACATCACATCAACAACGAGCAACATCAACAAATCGTACAAAAATTCCTGTTAATCATGTAACACCAACATCAAAATATCGGAATGATGTTAAACGAGCAACATCATCATCATCACGTTTTAATCATAAAGATAGTGATGAAGAAAATATTGATGAACATTTTATATTTCAACAAACAAAACCAACAAAAATGAATAGTCATCGTTTTGACCGACATACTATGGATGATAATACGACTAATAAACAAAAATTAGAAACATGTCAATATTGTTATTATCCACTAACATCAATAGAAAATCTTTTAAAACATGAAGCTGTATGCCGTCATCGTTCAGATCATGAAAGAGTATATACAACCAAATGTAGTTATTGTCATCAAAATATTCGTTTAAGTGATTATTTGAATCATGAAGAACTTTGTAAAGAATTTGGAATAAAACGACAAACAACAGAAAATAAACGATATTATAATCCAACGTCAACAAATCTTAATACTGATAATCCATCTCCTCCAAAATCATCGTTCGGTAATAGAATAAAACGACCTAGTACTGTCAAATAATTTGCATGAAACCTTTTACTTTTCTATATTTTTTTGCTTTTCACACTTACATTATTATTTTTACTTAGCGTCACTTGCTCATTTTTATAATCATTAAATTGATTCAGCATGTTTTTATGATTATTTATTATAATTTATTCGTGTATGCTTTGTGATTGTGTGCTGCACTTTTGTAGAAAAAAAATCGTAGATGGGAGTAGTAGATCAAATCATGCATTTGCTTGACTAATCACGTTCGATAGTTTTCACTTTCAAGTAGTCAAACGTTTGGTGATTGATTGTATCATTAATTGCTTTGATGTTTTTTTTTTATATATGACTTCGGTTATTTATTGATGTAGAATAATTCATGAATATTATGCAGAAAAAAAGTTTATGCCTTTTTTTGTTCATACAGGAGGTCTATCCAATGATATTAATCGATTACGTACATGTCATCGTTGTCAACGAATATTTCCTGTATTATCTGACTTATTCAATCATATATGTGATGATGAAGATGATTTACATTCATCGAAATCAACTGCATCTTCAACAAAATTCGATAATAAAACGACAATGGACAATACTACTTTGTTTGATAAAATCTCTTCAACATCACCAAAGTCTTTCAAATTAAATGCTCATTCTTCATTTAATAATTCTTCAATATCATCTTCACCTTTACATAAATTAGTCTCTCCACTTTCACCATCATCATCACCAATAATGCAACCAACAAAATCAACATCAATTCATATAACACCAGCACATGATTTAAATAATACGTACCAATCATCGTTAGAATCTGAACACATTCCTCTTTTTAAACGACCTTTATTTCAATCTGATATCACCACATCACATGATAACCAACAGCAGCAACAACAACAACAACAACATTCATCTAGCGCTTATATTTATTTGCATCATCCGTCATCACCACTACGTGTTAATTCTTAAACGAATGAAGACAAACAGACGAAATACACATGTAGAATAGATAAGGGATAAATTGTTCGTTCTGCAAAAAAATATATGTATACAAACGTTTAATCACCGATTTATTTTGCTTATAAACAGAATAGAAAAATACACTCACTGTTTCATATATAGTCACAGCAAATTCAGTTTGTGTGTTTAACCGAACCATACATTTTGAATAATTTCTCACGAACGCGCGTGTCAAAACGCGCATATTGAAATCAAATAAGAATATTCTAACATTATTTACAGATAGAGGAGAGATTCTTAATGGTTCATTGACATTTGTTTAATGAGACAGAATGATAGTTGTACTTGATCATGTCAAGGATAAAAAAAGAAATAGGAAAAAAGAATGTAGTATCAGATATAGTCAGTAAAAGTTTAATCATTTGATTAATCTTTCGAATGTGTTCGAAAAGAAATTGTTATCTGACTTACAGTTTTTTTATTAGTTTCAATCAGTAAACTAATATTTACTGATAGAAAGAATCTTAAAATAATAATAATAGATACTTGTGAAAAATTAAATTTTATTTTCAAAGATAACAATTTTAAGAAACTCTTACGATTATTTAAACTCTACACTTCAATATATAAAAACATAAAAGCATCGACGTATTAAAAAAAAATTTAATAAAATTTTAAAAAATTCTTGTTACACTATTGTTTTTATACGATTTTGTTCATTTTCCAATCGATTGAGTACATCAAGCTAAAAGAAAATAAAGGTTTATATTCATGTTTATGAATATAGGACATTTACTTCGGCATTAGCTACATCTAAAATCGACATCCAGGCATCTTCGTCATGTAAACTTTCATCAAGCGATAACGCATTTCCAAATTGTTCTGATATTGATGTACTCAGCTTTTTTGGATTATTTGAATTCGATTGATGTAATGAAATATTATCCGATGGATCGAGTTTATCGTCTTCTAATTGATTTTTGAAAACATTTTAAAAAATGAAAAATATTATTAATTCATTGAATATTTTCATATTTACCAATAATGGATTTTAGTTGATACTTTGATGTTCCAGACGCAGGTCGAGAGATAATTGCTATTGAAGGTAGTTTGGATGCTAAGGAATGAATATGATTATTTGGAACATAAATAGGTTTGAATGAGTTTTTAGAAATATTTGAAGAAAAAACTGAATCATGGATTTTGACATGATCAATAAATGTTCCTTGACTACAAAACTTAAGAATTGATGAATAACTCATATAATTGATATATCTTACTTATAAGGTCCAGGTGATGTTACATTAATATAATTTTTTGCATTAATTCTAGTATTTTTATCGATACCATCATGAATCCAAGCCATCATCATAGTACTTCTTTGTTTAGGTTGTACAATTGTAGCAGCTCGTTGAAAAGCTTGACATAGAGGTATTCCACTATTTAAAAAAACAATAAGTATTTTTAATGATGATCGAAATTTATTTCTTGTACTTTTTTTGTAGTGATATCATATCATCAAAAAAATTTACTGGTGTTAAAGAAAAATGTTTTGAACGTGAACGACGTCGACACAAATATCCAACAAGAAGAAAACAAATTAATAATAAGAAACCACCTATATTAAAAGAATAAATCTATTCAAATTTTATTTTTTTATGAAATATATACTTAAACTACATATGAGACCGATTTGCCATGAATTTAAAATCGATGTTAATCCATTATTATTCATAGTTGATAATGAAGATATGGTAGATGTCATAGGAATTCCGCTTGAGAAACGAAACATAAATAAAATAATTTTTGACATGAATTTTTTTTTTTGTTCGAACCTGCAATTGAAAATCCATGGATTTGTAAAGAGACTAATGCATACAGGTGTTGAACCATTCTGTAGACAAAGTGGATCTTGAGCTGTCTCACCACTCGAACAAGAGTCAGATTTGGCGCCTACACATAAAAAAAAAATTTATTAAATGAAATTTACAACGTATTGCTTCAATATTTCGAATTAATAATAGATAAATACTCTCAATGTTGCTATAAAAAAAACGATGAATTTGTTCATATAGAAAAAAAATTGTCTTCGTTAAGTTTTTTCTCGAGATACTTTACAATGTGTTAATTCATTCTACTCCACATTCTTTCAGTAACGGCTCTGTATTTTAATCGAGTTTATCTGTAAATTCACGAACAATAAAACTTTTCCAGATGATTTCTTCTAGTTTGACTGATTATTTTTTGTCTACAAATACTGCATAGTATTCTAATAAAAAATCTAAAATGATTTGAGATCCTATTGAGATTTGATGTAATAATTGAGTTTCGTTTTGATAAAACCTTCATTGGAAAGTCTCACACACAATAGCTTTTATGAAGAGTTTCAGACTTTGTAGACTTCATATCTTCAAGATACAAACTTTTCAAAATATTTTTGGTTATAAATTACTGTTTGAGAAGTGTACATTTTTGAAAAGTTCATAGCTTGAAGGTACAAAGTCCTCAAACTCTGAAACTCATTGTACAAGCTGGTATATGCGAGATCCTAAAATGAAGATAGTTTCAAAATAAAATTCACTAGTTCCGTCAAGTCTCAATAGGAACTCTAGTTCTTTTTGGATTTTCATAAGATTACTATGTAGTATCTACAAACACAAAAAAAGATTATTAACATCGAAAGGAAACATATGAGGTGGCTTCATCTTCAAATTAATATCTTTGCATTAACTTTATTGAAATGTTGAGATTTAGTCACTCGAATTTTTGGTTTCGCATTAAACAATCCGCAAACAATTAGAAACCAATATATTCAGATAAACTTGTTTCAAAACAACCGCTCATAATATATGTGACAAATATCTAAACAGACCATCACACTTACTTGTCATATTCTTCTAACTTTTAAATAGAAAAGTTCTTTTTTTTTCTAATAAGAAACGTAAATATAAAATATGTTTACGGTTGGAACATGAGAGATGATGTTTTTCTTATGATTGTGAGTAGACATAATCATAACTAATAATTGATTGTAATTACACTGTTCATTCTTCGTTTGTTTATTGGTTTAGTTTATTAGACTATTGCACTAAAATACTAATCGTACTTTCTAATAAATAATTGCTTTTATCTTACATAGATCATTTACTAATTCTTATTATCCTCCGATTCATATTAATACTATTGTGATATATTCTCTTCCACTATTTCGTTACATTCATTCAAAACGTTCTTGTTCAAAAAGAATTCTTTTTTGTCTATTCTCAACAGATAAATATTGTGTGGAAAAAAAAAGTCAGTAAATGTTTCGTATACTAATGTCATTTCAATATACATGTCTTTCTTGCCTTCTTATAAAGACAATTTTCTATTGGCATTGAATTATGATGATAATATCCGTATGTAAAAAAAAGAAATCTACATGAAAATAGATGACAGACACAAGAAAGGTAAAGAAGTTCATAGCGTGCCTTGGCTAGACTAAAGCTTCTTATTGCAGACCTATTTGGATCTCTGACATGTTATGCAAGATATTTTTGGAAGTAATATAAAGTGTTGTATTGTTTTTCTGTCATGTATTATTTTAAATCAAAATAAAATCTTCTTTCTCATATATTACTTACTGTAATTTAAACTGATTGATGAAAGATAAATTGGTCTTTCGTGTTTAATGAAAAACCCATTTAAACTATTTATGGAAAATCTATTTCCAGTAATATAATCAAAATAAATTGAAACTTAAAATATACAATAAAAATATACTTTTTCAATTGAAGAATTTTTCTTCTATTTTATACCTAAAGCTACTTGAATATGAATCGATACTGGTCGTGTAAATATTATAATTTGTTCAAAGTATTTATCAAATGCCGTGGTACAACTAATTTTCAAAGAGATATATGAAATAAAATTAAATCAAAGATAGAATTTACTTGAAATTAATAATTGAAATATTATAAAATACACTTAAAACTAAATTTGAACTGTTATTTTGATATAAATTATAAAGCTGAAATAAAAGATATTTATTATAACTCAATAATGAAATTGAACTTTAAAATCTTTACATACGTCTTGTACTGTTTGAGTTATATTTACCACTTCACTACATGCTGATAATCCTGTTGTTACTAAAAAGAGATATATGCATACATTTTTAATCTATGAAAAACAGAAACATTTTATTTATAAGTATTTTTATTGTAATAAAATTCTTCGATGTAATCTCAATTTAGAAATTTTGATGTGCTAATGGATTTTGAATTTTTTCTCAACCATAGAAATTAACGAAGAATGGTCTATCTTCATCCAAATAGGAAATAGCCTTTCTTTTTTTATTTGCTATTAAATTCTACTTTATCATACATGACCTTTTTTAATGTACATTACTTGTAGCATTATTGGCATAGGACATCGTTCTAGTAGTATTATTAGCCATTTATAATTATTGCACAATATATTGTTTTAATTAATGAGTATGTAAACTTGATAGTGAACCATCTGCTTCTTGTTTATTCTTTGAATACTATTCACCAATGACATTTTCGATGTTTTATAGATAGAATTATGAAGTATGAGAAAGAGAGACAGAGAAAAAGACAGAGAGAAAGAACAAAGTTTCGCTTATAATGTTTGCAAAACTTCGAACGTATGCAATGTCGTGCACATCTTTTTCTCTCTTTTACCATGAGCTTTTGTCTTCGTTTTTATAATACCAAACGAAGACCGAAAAAGTGTATGCTTCTAATAGTAAAACATTTTCATGCTTTTTCTCCTTCCGTTTTGTATGCCTATTACAACTAACACGCCTTATTTAAAAATTTTCATGCATTTACCTTTTTTTTTCTTCTTCTTCGTTTCGAGACAAAAAAGGGATTTCTTTTTTTGTAAATGTCTATATATATCTTGGTGTAGGTGTTTTTAGTTAGTGAAATGATTAATTTCTCGTTAATTAAAGAAGTATGTAAGTTTTCTTAGTACATTTTGAAGAAAACGTTCTAATGTTGTAT